TTAGAAGCTGTTATCAAAAATCTCCCTACCAAAAAAAGTCCAGGACCAGATGGTTTCAATGCAGAATTCTACCAGAACTTCCAGGAAGAGCTAATACCTATACTCCTTAATGTATTTCACAATATAGAAACAGAAGAATTATTGAACAACTCTTTTTATGAAGCTACAGTTACCCTGATACCAAAACCACACAAAGACACAACCAAGAAAGAGAATTACAGACCAATCTCACTCATGAAAATTGACGCAAAAATACTCAATAATATATTGGCAAACCGAATCCAAGAATACATTAGAAAAATTATCCATTATGATCAAGTGGGCTTCTTCCCAGAGATGCAGGGCTGGTTCAACATACACAAATCTATCAATGTAATCCATCATATAAATAAACTGAAAGAAAAAAAACCATATGATCATTTCATTGGATGCTGAAAAAACATTTGACAAAATTCAACACCCCTTTATGATAAGGGTGTTGGAGAGATTGGGTATACGAGGATCATACCTAAATATAATAAAAGCAATATATAGCAAGGCGACGCTAACATCAAATTGAACGGAGAGAAACTCAAAGCCATTCCACTAAAATCAGGAACGCGACAAGGCTGTCCACTCTCTCCATACCTCTTCAATATAGTGCTTGAAGTTCTAGCAATAGCAATAAGACAACATAAGGGGATCAAGGGGATTCGAATTGGAAAGGATGAAATTAAACTTTCGTTATTTGCAGACAACATGATAGTGTACATAAGCGACCCCAAAAACTCTACCAAAGAACTCCTACAGTTGATAAACATCTTTAGTAATGTGGCAGGATACAAGATCAACTCCAAAAAATCAATTGCCCTCCTATACACAAAGGATAAAGAAGCAGAGAGGGAAATCAGAGAAACATCACCTTTCACGATAGCCACAAATAGCATAAAATATCTTGGGGTTACTCTAACCAAGGAAGTGAAAGACCTATTTGACAAGAACTTTAAGTCCTTGAAGAAAGAAATTGAGGAGGATACCAGAAAATGGAAAGACCTCCCCTGCTCTTGGATTGGGAGAATCAACATAGTAAAAATGGCAATTCTACCAAAAGCAATCTATAATTTCAATGCAATCCCCATCAAAATCCCATCAAACTTCTTCACAGACCTTGAGAGAACAATAATCAAGTTTATATGGCAAAACAAAAAACCCAGGATAGCCAAAACAATCTTATACAATAAAGGAATTTCTGGAGGCATTACCATCCCTGACTTCAAACTCTATTACAGAGCAACAGTATTGAAAACAGCTTGGTATTGGCATAAGAACAGAGAAGTCAACCTATGGAATCAAATAGAAGACCCGGGTATTAACCCACAAACTTATGAACACCTGATTTTTGACAAGGGAGCTAAAGGTATACAATGGAAGAAGGAAAGCATCTTTAACAAATGGTGCTGGCATAACTGGATGTCAACCTGTAGAAAAATGAAAATAGATCCATATCTATCACCATGCTCAAAACTCAGGTCCAAATGGATTAAAGACATCAACATTAATCTGTCCACTTTGAACCTGATAGAAGAGAAAGTGGGAAGTAGTCTACAGAATATAGGCACACTTCCTAAGCAGAACCCCAGGAGCGCAGACAATAAGAGAAACAATGAATAAATGGGACCTACTGAAACTGAGAAGCTTCTGTAAAGCAAAGGACACTGTCAGTAAGACAAAAAGGCTACCTTCCGACTGGGAGAAGATCTTCACAAACCCCTCATCAGACAAAGGTCTGATCTCCAAAATATACAAAGAACTCAAGAAACTAGACACTAAAACTCTAATTAACCCAATTAAAAAAATGGGGTACTGAACTGAACAGAGAATTCTCAACAGAAGAAATTCAAATGACCAAAAGACACTTAAAATCATGCTCAACCTCCTTAGCGATCAGGGAAATGCAAATCAAAACAACTTTGAGATATCATCTTACACCTGTCAGAATAGCCAAACTCAAAAACACCAATGATAGCCTATGCTGGAGAGGATGTGGAATGAGGGGAACACTCATCCATTGTTGGTGGGAATGCAAACTTGTGCAGCCACTGTGGAAATCAGTGTGGCGGTTTCTCAGGAAACTGGGAGTCAACCTCCCTCAGGACCCAGCAATTCCACTCTTGGGAATATACCCAAGAGATGCCCTAACATACTATAAAAGTATTTGTTCACCTACGTTCATAGCTGCACTCTTTGTAATAGCCAGAACATGGAAACAACCTAGGTGCCCCTCAATAGAAGAATGGTTAAAAAAGGTGTGGAACATATACACATTAGAGTTTTACTCAGCGGTAAAAAACAATGACAGCTTGAATTTTGCGTGCAAATGGATGGAAATAGAAAACGCTTTACTGAGTGAGGTAAGCCAGACCCAAAAAGAGGAATATGGTATGTATTCACTCATAAGTGAATTCTAACCATAATTAAAGGTCTTTGAGCCTATTATTCGTGATCCTAGAGAAGCTAAATAAGAAGGTGAACCTGATGAAAATTATTTAGCTATCCTCCTGGAGATAGGAAATAGACAAGAGTCCCAGGTAACCTCGGGTGCATGGGGTGGTGGTGGGAGGGCTGTTGGAAGGGGAGAGGGTTAGAGAGAAGGGAGTAGGAAAGAAATGGGGAAAGCTCGGTGGACTGGGATGTGGGGGAGGGAGGAAGGATGTATATGGGATCAGGGAAGAATATATTTCAACCAAGGGAGTCATTTTAGGGTTTACAGGAGACTTGATTATAAATGGAATCCCAGGTCCAAGGAGAGATCCCCAGATTGTTCTCTGGACAGAGGAGAGGGTGCCTGAACCGGCCTTGGCCCATAACCATACTGATGAATATTTTGCTTATCACCATAGAACCTTCATCTGGCGATGGATGGAGATAGAGACAGAGACCCACATTGAAACACTGGACTTAACTCCCTAGGTCCAAAGGAGAAGCAGAAGGAAAGAGAACGTGAGCAAAGAAGGCAAGACCAGAGGAAACCTTCATCCGATGATGGATGGCGATACAGACGGAGACCCACATTGGAGCACTGTACTGAGCCCCCCAAGGTTCAAATGAGGAGCAGAAGGAGGAAGAAAATGAAAAAGGAAATCAGAACTGCGAGGGATGCGATCACCCACTGATACAAGGGGACTGATCTAATGAGAGTTCACCAAGGCCAGTTGGACTGGAACTGAAGGAGGCCTTGATCCAACCAAATTCTCTGAATGAGGCTGGATTCTCTGAATGTGGCTGGCCCGGAGTCTTTCTGAAAAGCCATTGACAATGACACTGGGACTTGTTTCCTCTGCATATACTGGATTTTGGGGATCCATTCTGTTTGGATACTCACCTTCCTGGACCTGGAGGGAGGGGGGAGGAACTTGAACTTCCCACAGGGCAGGAAACCCTGACTGCTCTTAGGGATGGAGAGGGAGGAGGAGAGGGAGTTTGGGGAGTGGGAGGGTTTTGGGAGGAGGGGCAGAAATGGAAACTTTTATAATTTAATAAAATTACTTTCTCATCAAAAAAAGAAATGTACACACAATATGTTCTAAAAAAACCTTAAATAGATTTCAATATACAAAATCCATACAAATATTTAAGACTAGCAGTTGATTTTTTTAGTTTAATAGATCCAATAATCTACCCTTTTATCCTACATCCCCCTTTCTTTCTTTTTTATAATAAGATCCCGGCATCTAATCTCCTTTGCTTTGTTTTCTCCCTGACAACTTGCTGTCAACTCTCCTAAACAATGATAAATATCTGTAATCTGCTGAACAACCAAAAAAAAAATCCACTCCCACATCTTGGGTATTCATTGTGTTTCATAGACTGTTTTTTTGTTGTCTGGGCATGACAACATCTTTAGGGGACCCTAAGAAAATTGAGAGTCAAGTTCTGGAGAGCTAACTGTTATGCAGTCTCTGTGTGATGGGAAAAGTGTAGGGTTTATTTGAATTTCTAACTGGAGTAGCTTATGAAACTGCACCAACTCAGCTAGCCACCTTGAAATTGTTCTGAGCTATTTGTAGTCCAAAGCTGATCTTTGGGTGGTGTTTGTCAGCTTAATGGCATTACCACAATTCAGGTGGAATCTTCATTGTGGGGTCCCATTATCCTTTTGGAGACTCCAAAGGCCATTGTTAGGAATGAGTGTGGGTCACAGCAGAAATCTTAAAACATTTTAAGTAAATGTCATATGCAGCAGCTCTCCAAAAAGCTGAGACTGTCAGTAAAGTTTGCTTTGAATCATAGGGCAGAGCTAGCTACTAGCTGACCAAAGTTAGCCATAAGGGTTTTGGAGGACCAATGACAGACAGAGAGACACAGGAAGTAGTAGGACTGAGCTTAGAGAGAGTTTCACCCCTTTTGGATCAAGGAATGAGAGAGAGAGAGAGAGAGAGAGAGAGAGAGAGAGAGAGAGGTCACTGGTCACTCCTCCGCCGCTTCTCTGATCATTTAGTTTCTTAACCTGATATCTGACTCCCGAGTTTTTATTGATAAAGAATAACTAGATAAACACTTCAGTGTTTTGTTTGATTGTGCTGATTGTCCATCATGTCAAGAAAGTCTCAGTAGCAGAAGCTTGAAGCCATTGGTCAAATTGCATTCACAGTTAGGAAGCAGGTGGTGATGCATGCTTGTTCTCAGCTTATTTTTCCCACTTTTATATAATCCAGAATCCATCAGTAATGGGGCCACCCAGAATAGGTGGATCTTCCTACCTCAGCCTACTCAAGATAATTCTCCATAGGCATGCCCAAAGGCGTACCTTCCATGGGATTCTATATCTCATCAATTTGACAATTGAGATTAACAATCATAACATAAAAGACACCCTAACACTCAAGTGCATGCCTTTTATTTTTAGTTTTCTTTTTCTATTTTTCTTTTTTTTTAAATTGAAGGTCCCTTACTGGTCCTGCTTTCATGAGTGGCTGAGAAGAAGGGGAAGGGGAGGGAACCAGCTGGCAAGGGAGGGTCACTTCCACATTTCATTTACACACAGAACTAAACAGACAAGCACAGAGTCATTATTGTGGTTAGAAGTTGGAAGCATGGGATGGGGGGATGAGGAATAGGGGTGTAGTTAAAAATATAAGTCAGGATCCTCCCAAACTGGGTGCCTGGGAAGGGACTTGGTCTGCTTCAACCCAAGAGGAATCAGAAGACCAAAAGCAGTTTGGGAAGGCCAGAACCGTCAGGGTGGAGGGAGAAGGATGGTCCAGGGGGTGGGGGACATTTGGCAACTGGGGTGAAGGGATTACCATCCCCCTGCTGGCATTCCCCCCAGTCCTTCAGGTCTGGCAGGAAAGAGGCAGCCTGCAACACCCATGAGCAGGTCTGGGGCTGCTAGATGCTCCAGGCAGGGGGCTGGAGGCAGCTCACAAAGGCTTGCCCTCCAGGGAGTGACGGCACTGCCACCTAGTTTCTCTGCCAGGGTGCAGCGGTCCTTGACCACCTTGTAGCAGTTTGCTTGTAATTCATGCTTGATTACTGTCAGCTTCTTCTTGATGGCATCCTTGGAGCTGGCATAGATCATTTTGCTCTTAAGGGGTGCACTCTCAGGGGCCCAGAAGATGAACACCAGGTCCTCCTTCTTGGTCTCGTAGGTGACATAGTAGAGAGCGTAGCAGCAGTCCTTGTCTGGCAGCATCTTGACAAAGGTGATATAGGCATCGTCCACAGTCTGCCCCACATCTCCTACCAGGATCTCCTTGCACTCCTCCAGGATGATGTTCTTCTTGTCCTCACTCAGGCAGACTAGCACTGCCTTATTGCGTTTCTTCACTTCTTCTGGTATCGAAGACTTGCGCACTTTCATGTCATTGAACACCTTGATGACACCATCAGAGACAGCCACACCAGAGGCCATGTTTCCAAAAGCAAAAGGGAGACTGGGAGAGCTACAGAAGAACTGAATCACCGCAGCTGCTACCGGGATCCGACTGACTATTTTCAGTTTTCTAATTACAGATGGCTTTCATGAGGTTCTGTTTGGATGGTGCTCCCATTCTTGCTCATTACATTTTAAAAATGCAAATGTAGAACTAAAAATGTATCTTTTACTTGTTTTTCGTTATAATAAATAACATTAGTTGTAAAAATTAGGGGGCAGCCAGGAAATTAATAAATAAAGTATCTTTTCAAAGTTAGATTAAGTGGAGAGAATCCAGGATCCAGAAACGGATTGTGCCCAGAGTTTACGCTAGGCACTCAGGGAATTCCTAGAGAGCTGCCAGTCATCAATCTACATTGAAATCCTGAAGAAGTAGGGTTTAATATCAGTGAAGGAATATCTAAATGACAGGATAGATAAATTTGCCAGACAGAGTGAAAGCAAGGAGGCAAAAAGCAAAAGCTTCCTTCTTTCATGTCCTTTTATGTGGGCTGCTACCAGAACATGTCGTCCAGATGTAGGGTAGGTCTTCCCATCTCAAATGATCCAATCAAGAAAATTTTCTTCAAACTGTCCAGGGTTTTAGTTGATTATAAATGTAGACAAGTTGACAACCAATAATGACCATCATGCCTCAAAACTTTTAGAAGCATTGGGCAATTTACTTGACTGAGGAAAAGTTAAGCAGTTTTTTTGACTCTAAATCTATCAGCTCTGGGGGGATCACCCACACTACTGCGTTGTCCTATTGCTATTTTATTTCATTTTTGTATTGAGAAAGTGCATGTAGCTCAGGCTAGCCTTCCATCCACTTTATAGCCAAGAGTAACTTTGAACTTCTGACCCAACTGAGTGCTAGGGTTACAGGTGCATGCCAAATAAATAGTGACTTTAGGCACAGATTTTACTGCCTTATTGTTGCTCAGGAAAAGGGATTGCTTAGTAGTATAAAAGTATATATATATGTCAACGACTTGCACAAAAACATGTGTTGCCACTTTAGTTATATACCTCCAAATGGCAACAAGCCAAATGCCCCTCAATGGATGGATACATCTCATATGATCTCTAGGCAACAGAATTCTATTCAGCATTAAAACGAAATGAGCCAAAGATAAACAGTGTAGACAAATCTCAAAAAATGTACTGAGTCAAAGAGCTAGAGCCCTCAAAGGACATACCACATGACATCATTTATTTACATGATGCTCAAGAACAGGTAATACTGATACCTGGTTGTGGTGCCTCCTGTTTGTAATCTCAGCATTTGGAAGAGTGAAGCACGAGCATGGCAAGTTGGAGGCCAGTCTGCACTACATATTGAGATCTTGTCTCAAAAACAAACAGAAAAAACAAAAAATAACAACAATAAACAGGCAATGTAATCTGTGATGAGATAATCCAAAATTATGGTTGCTTTTGTTGTGAGACATGGTGTCCACTGGAAATTGTACACAGAATTGTTCTTTTGTGTGTGAATAAAGCCCCCCCCCCCAGGCCTTGGGAGTGGCTAGGATTACAGGCCTGTGCTATCAGCTCCGCCTGATATTTCCTGAAAAGAAAAATAAGTGCTTTACATGTTGTTGATACTCAGTCTCTCTCTCTCTCTTTCTCTTTCTCTCTCTCATGCAGAGACTTCATCAGGCTGAATATACACTGAAGATGTATGGTTTAAAAAATGCTCTTATACTGCAGCTAAAGAAGAAGAAGAAAGAAGTAGAAGAAGAAGAAGAAGAAGAAGAAGAAGAAGAAGAAGAAGAAGAAGAAGAAGAAGAAGAAGAAGAAGAAGAAGAAGAAGAAGAAGAAGACCAGAGAACAGGAGCAGAAAGTGGAAACGAAGTCATCAATATACCCAAGAAAGAACAAAGGGATGCTAGTAGGATTTCCTGTGCAAACAGTGTGTGTTAAACTGAGGGGAGGCAGGCAGCTGCTGTGTGGCACCCTGGGAAGAGAATCAGTGTTCTGGCCCAGAGTCCCTGCCTGGTTGCTCCCTGCTGGTGCTTACTGTAGAGCTGACCCAAGCTGGGGAGGGAGCCATGGCTTGCTCTTGAGAAAGGGATTGTCTCTCCTAGCACACAGACTCCTCATTCTCCAAAACCAGTTATTAAAATCTTTCTGCAAAGACAGATGATTCTGTAAAAACGGCACGAGCTTTTGTAAGCCCCATTTCAGCTTCTTAATCTCCTGGCAGCTGCTTCAGGAGCAGTGCAGAGCCAGCTGAAACAATTTCCATAGCACAACAGAGTGGGCACTAATTCCGCAGACTGGCTGCCTAGCAGTAAAGAAAAATGGCAACCTAAAAAAGTAGTTAGAGGCCAAAGTGTACTTTTGTGAAGGTAGTGCCTCCAAAAGACGCAGTCGAGTTCCATGTTGGGTGCAGAACTTGCCTCTTCTGACTTTCTGAAGCACAGAGTAGGAAAGAAATGACTGGGAGTGCAGGGCCATGCTCTCTTTGCCCTCTTCCTACTTCCACCTTCCTAATTCCCACTAACCCTATTGCCTTACTCCTGGTCTACCTTGAGCTTCCCCTCTGTTCCTTCTTCCCTCCCCCTCCCTTCTCTATTCCCAGTCTCCTTCCTGCAGTGCTGGGGGTTCTAACTGGATGAGATTTGGGCTAGGAAGTGCTCTGCCCTGGAGCTGCACCTGGCCCTCAGAGCTGTATTTCCATAGCTCTTTGGTCCCTTTCTCTTTCTCTCAGCCCAGAGTTGTCCTTTGATTCCTCTGCTCCTAATAGTAAAAGGGCAAGTGGAGGTTTTCCTTCCCTTTCCTTCCTTCTTTCTCATTGCACGTGTCGTCTGGGTGGGCAATTAATGTTTTATATAACAAAAACCAAATAGTAAGCACATACAAAACCAGATAATTAGGAATAATTATTATCATGTCTGTTCCCTGATAATATATAAAAGGCGCTGCAAGCCATGCCTCTCCACAGCAGACACTGTTAACCAGAAACATAGGAGGATCGTACCCCAGATTTAGAACTGAATCAAAAGGAGTGAGAAATAGGAAAGCAGTTTGCCCAACGTTTTCTTAAACTTTGCATTTTCATTATCTATCTATCTATCTATCTATCTATCTATCTATCTATCTATCTATCTATCTATTGATTTAGTTTTCTGTATCTGTGTGTGGATATGTGCACATGCAGGCAGGTGCTATCTGAGGTCAAAAGAGGACACTAGATCCCCCAGAACTGGAGTTACAGGTGGCTGTGAGCATGGGTACCAGGAATAAATTTCTGGCCTCTAAAAGAGCAGCAACTGATCTTTGACGCTGAGCCTTCTCCCCCATTCCCCCATGTGCGTTTTAATCCCTGAGATTTGAAAATAAATGAAAATTGCTTCACCTTTTGGTTTCATTTCGTTTTCAGGCAAGGTCTTGTCCTGTGTCCCAAACTGATTTTAAAGATGTAATCTTGCCTCAACCTCAACCTGGAATTAAAGAAACAGGCTACAACAACTATACTTCAGATACTTTATTATATATTTATCACCATGAAGGCATGTAAAATTTATGGAAATAATTCAAAGTTAGTGGTTATCTTGGCACCTCGGACAGTCATGGCTACTCTCAGGATATATCATGCTATCGATAAAGGAGACAATCCCATATTTTAAAAATATCTGCGATTTTATCTGAATTACTTATATTGTTTAACTTAGTCCATATTAATATTTTTCAAAATTTCTACAACGAATACATCAATATTATTGGAAATTAAAAAGTATGTATGTATGTATGTTTTTTGAGACAGGGGTCTCTCTACATAGCCCTGGCTGTCCTAGAGTTCACTGGGAACTCTCTTTCTGTAGATCAGGCTGGCTTTTAACTCAAAGATCTACCAGCCTCTGCCTCCCAAGTGCTAGGATCAAACGCATTAACCATCATACTCAACTATTTATTTTTGTTTTATGTGTATGAATGCTTTGCCTGCATGTGTGTCTGTGTACCACATGCATACAGTGCCCAAGGAGGCCGGGAGAGGGTGTTGGATCTCATGGAACTGGAGTTGCATACAGATGGTTGTGAACTGCCATGGAAGAGCAGCCAGTGCTCTTAACCACTTTGTAGTCCTGGAAACATTTTGAGTTCCAAATCAACACTTGTTAAAGACAGAAAAGTGAAAAAATAATTGGAGATTCTGAATCCAACTACTGGCAATACTTTATCTTTATTTCTAGTCTTTGCATGTAAATTTCTATTTAAAAACAAAGACTCCAACTCAAGGCACAAAAATTTTAAATACTGAATAGATATGGAGTATTTTGTGACCTGCTAGTTTCACTTAGCATTGGGTCTTAAGCGTTTTCTTGTGATATAATCTCTCTCTAAGCAATATTTTAGTTTAGCTGCATATATAATTGTGTGGCTGCAACCCAAATTTTTGAGCCGTTTCCCTACTCATTTGAGCTGAAACAACTCTGCTATTTAAAATAATATGTGATATCAACCAAAACAGAGTATGTATGAAAATGCCATATGAAACCTGTTGCTTTGTATGGTAATTAAAATGTAATGATAAGATTATCATTTTAATGCGTGCATATTCTATTTCTTTTAGTTTCAGTTAAAATGCTTGTGTTGCATTTCTAAAAACAGTATATGTTCTGGAATTATGAAGTACTGGAGAGTTGGTTATGAAAACCAGCTGTCCCCTCGTCTCCCCCCTCTTTGCCTTGTCACACAGACAATAATGGCTTTTAGCTAGTTCTTTTGCCTACTTAGTGTATTTCTTTAAATAACAGGTTTGAATAGAAACTTTTTGATTTTTCTCTGCTATAGGCATTTTATTTTTGAAATTCTAGTATGGAAAAATGAAGGTTCATTTCACCTTATTATCTTCTCCTTGACCTATTCCTCTCATAAAGATCTTTCCTATATCTCCGATAAAGTTTATACCATTACTTGAGTTGAATAAATATTTTTGTGCGTGAAGTTTTATGGCTATATAAATACCATTTGAAGTTCTGATGTGGGAGTCCCTTCTGTGTTCTGTAATTACCATTAATGAATAAAGAAACTGTCTTGGCCTGTTGATAGGGCAGAACTTAGGTAGGCAGGGAAGATGGAACCGAATGCTCAGAGGAAGAAGGGTGAAGTAAGGAGATGCCATAGCTCCTCCACTTGAGACAGACGCTGGTTAGAATCTTTGCGGGTAAGCCACTGCCACATGGTGATATACAGATTAGTAGAAATGGGTTAAGTTAATATTAGAGTTATCCAATAAGAAGCTAGAGCTAATGGGCCAAGCAGTGATTCAATTAATTCAGTCTCTGAGTGATTATTTTGGTTCTGGGTGGCCAAGATGAACAAATGGTGCCTTTCTTTGCAACAAAGTTCAGCCATGAGATATAGAATATCCATTTTTAAATTTTTATATAACTCTTTGCTCAGAAGTTAACTTATGTTGTTAATGCCTTCACTTGCATTTTAAAATGGTATTTATTTTTAATTTAAATATAAATTCTTCACCAGAATAAGTTTTCTCTAATAACAAGCATATTCACTGGGTTTGTGTTTCCTGTCTAAAGGAGTAGCTTTTGTATTAGCTTGATTTGGCCCTCTGGGTGTGTCTATGACTTATGTAGAGCAGACTCAAGGAATTATCTTACTAGTGTTCTGGGATCCTTGCCCATCTCCATGCCAGCTCTCTGGTTTCCTACAACTCTTACATCCTTTATCATGACCTATCGTGCTCTTGTAGCAAAACACATCCTCTGATGGCTTCCTAAGACAGGGAATCTACAAAGAAAACTTCAGACCTTGAATATCTGGAAATATTTTGGATAGTTAAAACATATATTTTCAAGGTTGGAAACAATTTTCCTTCCGAATATTGAAGTCATCATCTTCTCATGTCTAATGTTCCTTGACAATCCAATCACCACCTCTGGGAAAAATGTAAGCATTCAAATAAATGGAAACAAATTATAACCCATTGAATATGAATCTACTAGTTCATACATATGCACTATGTTCATACATGTGCACTATACAGATGCACAAATAAAATAGTAAGCAGAGGGAAAGATAAAGTTCTTTTCATACTAGGGTTGCAACTAATCAATGTAAAAGAATACATCTTAAAATAATAGAATTTAAAAAGTCACTTTTTGGCAACCATTATGGTGACAGCTGATTCAGAGAAGTATTATCAATGGATACTGAAGTTAGCAGGTAGAAGTTCTAGGAATAGAGGATTTTTTGATATTTGCCAAGTATTACTTCTTCAGTTGCAATAGTTGTTTGCAAGTACATACCACCAAACCAGCATCAGCTGCAATAGGATAAGCTGACCTCATATGGTATCTGATAAGAAACAGTTGAGAAATTGCAGTGTCATTTCTGAGACATTCTTACTCCAAATGAAAAAAAAAAACCAAACTGAATCAAAGAAACCCAATTGGATTACATTCTACAAAACAGTCTTTCCACTTCAAAGGAATCAAAGTGATGAAATACACATGCCTAGGTGGAATAATCATTTCAAGTTAAATGAGACCAGAGTCATACAACAGCTATGTGCAATGTGTGGTCCAGGATTAGGTTCTGGGACAGGAAGAAAACGTATTTGTATGAAGGACAGTTTGAGGAAAAGTAACAAAATTGTAAGAAGTGCTGTAGTTGGCTAACAGTTTTTCAGTGATACTGTTCTAGTCTGGGTCCTCAAATTATGATTATAGAAGTCTTTGCTTTTAGAATATGGACTCAAGTATATAAGTACACATGTGTGGTCTTTCCAAAATAGCTCAGAAAACAGTAGGAATATAAAAGGTGGAGTGTGAGGCATGAGAGCCATCCAGGGAGAGAGATGGGTAAAGAGGGAAGGGTGGTGCGATAAAGCATGCACGGGGAAGAAAGCAAATGATGAACAATGCAGATACAGGGCACACAGGAGGCATTTGGACTTTTTATCACCTTTTCTGAAGGCTTGAGGTCATTACAAAATAATGTTGGGACTCAAAACCAGAAGGAAAACAAAAGGAGCAGGGAACTGAAAAAGATGACTGAGTGCTCTGGAAAGCACATTGGGTTTGTAGGATGTGACCTGGTGGGGACATGATGAGGGGGTTATTCGAGGAGTGTCTGATGTCAGTCTCTTCCATGAGGTTCTGGGATCAGGGATCACTCATCTATTCTCTAGCCTGAAGGTATGGGAGAGGGTTGGGAATTTAGAGTCTTCATGCACACAAACTTTCAGGCCCTCTCTGCACATGCACTGTCTAGTGCATAACAGAGTGTCTTATTCTTTGTTGATCTTTGAGGGCCTTGACATTGGATCTGAAAGCTGAGGAATCAGGCAGACATCCAATTGCTTTTAAAAAGAAGCCTTATACAAACCACAGCCACCTTTCAGCCCTCATTTCTGATGTGATCTGATGTCAGTCTCAAACTTTTGGAGAGAAAGATTTTGTGGTATGGATTGAGCTGGTTCTCACATTCTTTGCTGCCAATTTAGGATCCTGTTCTTTTTCTTCTAAATTATTTGCTTTTGGGCTTTCAAAATTGTGATTCTGTTTTCTCCTCTCCCATGTTACTCTGTCTTGTAATTTATACCTATTAAAAATACTACTTACTCTCATTCAGTGAAGGTCATGAATGTTCAACCCATGATTATTTTGCAGTTGGTCTGCACACATGTCTCTCTGCATTCTTGATGGCTTCCTCTGGATGGCATCCCAGAAATGGAATTACTAGGTAGAGTGTGCCATCCCTTTTTAGGTTCCTTTCCCTTTCTCTCCCCACTACTCTGCTTTTAAGGCTCTTGATGAACTTTACCAAATTGCTTTTCAATAGAATTATATTCTCACAGTTTTCAAGATTTGCTTCTTTTCCTGAAATTTTGCCTTTCCTGGGTAGGATCATTAAAAATAACATATTAAAATATTTGTATTTTCGACAAGTCAAATACTACTGACTTACTTTTGGCACAATTCCCCTTAATGAGTGATTTTCTTTTCAGAGAGTTGTTAGTACAGGCAAGATGCAAATGGATTTGGCTAAAGGATGACAGTGGAATGGCAGGGTGGGGAGGTGGCTTAGACTGTGTTTGGTAGCTTCTTTCCAAAAAACACTGTTGTTTGTGTATAATAGGGAAAGAATCTGGGCCCTGAGTCTCTGCTTTCTTCAGCTGTGATACAAGTAGCCCTGGTTCCATGATGGACACATTCACATAAACAGATTGGATCAAAGAGATGGAGATAAATGACAGTAACAATGGAAATGGAACAGTGATGCTTCTACCCAACTGACACTGCCCTAGACTTCTCTCCCTTCTATGGGAAACCTGAATCCTCTCATGATGTTAGTTCAGTTTCCATGTGCTTCTCATAGTTAGGGCCATTGTGTCACATATATAATGCTTTGGTATTTTGATATCTGCATTTTGTTTTGTGCAACACAACCCTGACATGTCAGCCAACCTCTCTACATGGTGCTGAATTAATTTCTGTTCTATGAGATAAGGTTTAAAAATAAAATAATAAAACAAAATAAAACCCCTTTGAGCTAGCAAGATGATTTGGAAGGTAAATGTTCCTGTTACCAAACCTGATAACCTGAGTTTGATCCTGAAGGATCCACAACGTAGAAAGAAAGAACTGACAACAACATGAATGTTGCGGTACATATACACACACACACACACACTCACACACACACAGATAAACACACACACACACACACACAGCATACCACACAATATAAAAAATGTTTTTATATTACAAAGCTACAAAATAGAATGTAGGATCCATTTATAATCTTCATTCAGGTCTCTCATATGTTAACACATCACTTAACCAAAATATTTACTGATACTCAAAAATTAATATTCATAAGAGCCCCATTTATTGACCTATATATCATATTTGACATTTACCAATTGTCCTACAGAGAAGGAGACGCACATCCTAGTGGGGTGGAATTGGATTGGCATGATCATTTAAGCCTTAACCTCGGTGTTACCCACAGCTGGCTTGGCCAGCACAGCACAGGCCTTGTGTTCTCCTTAGACACAAACAATTTCTCAGATTGCCAACATCAAACAAGGCCCCTCTTTGACTAAGAGGGATCAAGACAAAACAAGGCTGCTCTGTACTCATGTCTTAACATAAACAACAACATGAACACTGTACAGACAGAATGACCAAGCATCTCTCACCCTGACCTTAACCATGAAGAAGCTAAATGAAGGCTGCTGCTTTCCTAATGGAGCACCAGACATGCTTCATCTTTTCTAGCCTGTACTGTGGATGTATTTTGATATACAATCATAATTTCTTCCAATTCCGTATAGTATCCAGTTAAGAATATTTCAAGTGAGCAGGCACATAAATGGGATTTTATAGCTCTCCTTCCTGCACAAAATCAGCCTTTTTTAAGTGCTCATGGTGCTTTTCCTCATGTGAGTTTGGAGTCATTCATCATCCTTTTGTACAAGGTGTGGCACCCAGTTGTATGGATGCACTGGAGTCTATTCTGTAGTCCCGCATAACCACCTTCATGGTATTTCCAACATTTTTCTATTATGGTGCATACCTGTTTATTTTATCACAAATGAAGTGTTTATTGCTTAATTGCAATGACTAACATTCCTGCAAACAGTAACTTGGATATATTGATTTTTGCAATGCTGACTGTGGCAGGATCCAAAGGGATACATGCTTGCTCCCAGAGCCAATTTTCCCTTGGCCCTGTGGTCACAGTACAGGCCCGAAGCCATTCTTTACTCATCTGAGTGGAGCAGGGCTGTTCTTCTTGTCTCCTTACTATCTCTTCAAAGAGCTCTCTCTAATGTGTGAGTCACTGGCATAGAATGCCTTTGCTGGGCAATGCCCCCAACTTGATTTCCTGGAAAGCAATCCTGCAAATGCTGTTGTCCCCTGATTGGGTGTCAAGCTTTTCCTATCATTTGAAATTCCTTCAAGAGCTACAAGTTGATCAGAGAATATCCTATGTTCTCGTGAGTTCAACTGGGCCAATGTGTGTGAAAAGCAGGGGTAAGGTGGATAGGGGAGCCACACCACCATGAGCTAGCTAGGAGACTGATGCTCACTGAGACAATATGTCCTCATTTCTCTTCACATAATGAACACAGATGGACTTGGTAAGGATCACTGTAAGATTCCCTTCTGAGCCTGTTGGAGGGCCAGTCTAGGGAGGGAGGTGGGGACAGAAGCTGCCCAGCTGCCTTTCATGATTGACCAAGGGTCTGAATGGGAGAAGCACCAAAAATGACCACAGTCAGACTGTCATCAGGCAGAGAGCCAGCGGCCTCCTGGGTAGGAGTCAGGATTTCCTCCAAAATGTCACTATGTTCTCTATGGAGAAAGCCTCTGTTTTTTCCTTTCATAAAGAGACCCACATCACTTACAGGGGACAATATTTCTGCAAGAGTAAATCTCTTCCTCTATATTTTATACAGAAAAAGAGTGAGTTCTGGAAAAGATAAATAACATGGAGAAAGTTACACAATAACAGGATAGTCATGATTTGATAGCAAGTCAGTCTATTTCCAGAGATCAGGACTTTCACCAAAGACCTCAGTTTCAACAAAGTATTTCTGTTAACACCAGAGAAAATGTTCAGACTTAGGAAATCACTTATAGGCAGAAATCAGACGATGCAAGACCACAGGCAAGAAACTTAAAAAGAACCATACTTAATAAAACACTGAAGCGCTAAGTCAGACTGGTGGGCTGAGCTGGCATTATACCTTCCTGATAACTGCAGTTGGTGGAGTCTGATCTCATAAGCATTTGACATATATTACATTTCATCCCTGTCCTACACTTGCTCCCTTGGGTGTGAAGGTTAAATGAGCCCTCAGCAAATGCCAGCAAGACTCAATGTCAAGTGTAAGGGGAATCCATATCTGCAGTCTGTCCCCTGGGCCAGCTTGGTGAACCTGTAACCTATACAGCAGAGGGCCTCAGCTCAGCTTTGCTGCTTCACTTTGCAACTATTAGCTGTTTCTGTACAGGTCCATCTCAAACTTTCATTTGTTTTTGGGCCCCACAAGTCACATAGCCAGTCCTACGGGCTAAAAGGCATAGCTGACAAAAACTGACAAAATAATACCTCTACTAAAATTCCAAGGAGTAGAGACTAGCTGGTGATATTTTTATTCTGGTTGAAGGCTCTTGAGTGCTGACTCAACTGTCTCTTGCCTGTTAAGAAGTGTTCCATCTGATGGGTAGCCAGTATGGTGTATGAACAATGCAGGGAAGGGCTAAAGAAGGTATTCATTGTTCTCAGCCTCTGCTCTCTGTCCAGCCCTCCCTTGTTGTGGGGAACACAAAGTTCTCAACATCACTCCCAGGCTCAGGAAGCTCCCAGATGGATGGGGAAGCAAGACACAGATCTTCCTGAAATCATACTCAAATGAGGCACAAACTTGTGGACCAGAATTTCAGGGACAATGTTCAGAAAGTGTTCTGTAGTGGCTGGCCTATTTTAAAAGCTCTGCATAAATGGAGGACTGAGAAGGCTCTTCAGTGATGTTTAGAGCTTTGGAGGAAGGAAGCCCTCAGTCCTGGACAGGGATACAGCTCATGCTTCCCATGCCAAGACCTGCTTCTGTTGTACTGGGACTGAAACTAGGGCCCTGAGCATGCTAAGCACGTGCCCAAGGACTATTTTCCATTTGCCCACAGTAGACTATGGACAAGTATTGCAGTTGGAGCTCTCTGGAAGCTGATATTCAGTAGACTTTGGAGTATGTATTGGATTCCTGAAGATATTTAAACAAATCACTATACAGGAGGTGGTATATACCAATAGATTTATATCCTCTCACAGTTTTGGGGGCTCACAGGGTTGAAGTTAGGGTAGCATTAGAGCCGCATTCCCTCTGGGGATCTGGCAGAAGGTTCATTGCTTGCCTCTTCCAGATTCTGGTGACTGCTGGAATTCCTTGGCTTATAGTTGTCCTCATTTCTATCTTAACTTTCACATCATTGGTTCTTCTCCCTTAAAAGTCCCCCTGCTTCCCTCATAATGAAGACACATGGGCTGCCATTTAGGACCCACTTAGATAATCCTGGAAAATCCCAGCATCCTTAACCATATCCAATATAAGGCAATTGTCACAGTTTCTGGGGATTAAGAAGTGAACATTTTCTGGAGCTACCATTTTGGCCACTAATGGGCACAAGTTGTCTAGCCAACACCTGTGAAAAGAATTCAGAGGAAAAGGAGGAGTGGGGGAGGTTGGACTGTGATGAAGGGTCAGTAAAGTCTTGGTCTGATTCATGGAGAGTATTGGAATAAAAACTACCCATCAGAGTTGTAGCTAAATGGGCAAATTACCTGAGACATCACATCTTGCCAAGCCCAGTGACTAGGTATGGATAAGTCTTAGGATGGGTGTGGCCTGGAGTGAAGCCACAGAGTGACCAAGGCAGAGCCCAAAGGGCTGGCAGTCAGTGCTGTCTGCCTACTACACTCCTGCGTTAGAGAGAGAGGTGTCCTTTGTAGAAGGAGAGGTAGAGAATAAACAGATGGCAGGTAGTGGGGAGTATATCCCTTGGAGATAACACCTAGGAGGGGGCCTGGGATCTTTAATCACAATGACAAGAGCAAGTCTGCTTTGTCCTCAAAATGCATGAGAAAAGGGACTTCTCAACCTCCTGATCTTGCAAAAGGTCACTAGCTGAGGAGCTATTTCCAGGTCACTCCAAAGTGTTAGGCCCTGCCTAAGAGTTCTTTGTCCTCCTTTGGCCTGCCCTGCAGATGTGCACACAGCTGCAAAAACACATAGTTTGCTTTAGCTTGTACTAAAAACAAATATCCCACTATCCTCCAGGGGGTACTCCAATAGTTTTGTTCTTTGCTCTCTCCTGGGATATGATCAAGGAGGACATTAAATGTCTTTATCTTAATTCAGGAGGTGTCTAGGGCTATGTTCCCTTCTGAGACTCAGCAGCTCCACTCTTTAGAGTCCCAGGTCATTGGGCCAGAGGAGAGGTCTTCATTTGTTTCCCCCCTTCTTGCCTTCCCCACAGATATGTGGTAGAGGGATAAGAAGAGGGTTATAGTAAGTTCCATTTTTCAACTCCCTCTGGGGCATCACTCAAAATCACTTACAGTCTTTAGTGGAAAAACAATGGTTCTGTTGAGAGAGGCCAGGCCTGGCATGCATACTGGAGAGTCCTGAGGACAGTCTTATGTTCATGTGAACCTTTGGGGAGTCTGAGACTGTAGCCCCTTCCCTGTGTTCTGGTCAGGAGGCTGTCTGGGAGCACATACCGCAAGCAAGTCAGTAGGGAGATGTGGTCGGACTTCATCCTCAACAGCCAACCAGAAGACATCAGCTTTAAAGCTTCTCAGGCATGACAAGTCAGTCTTTGCAGCAGCTTGGCCTGCCATCCTCACTGTTGTGGTTCCCAGGGGACAGAGAGTGTCTGGAGCAGTCAAAAGGCAAAACTGAAAGGTCCCCCAGTATACCACAAGATAGGGATTCATGTTTAAATGTGAATGAAATTAGAACTGAATCGTCCAAGATGGGAGTCTGAGACTGATGGGGAAGGCAACAGAGGAATGAACATGTAGGAAGGGTTTCGGCATTATCCAAGCAAATCACATCCTCTCTGGGCCTCTGTTTCCCCATGGGTGCAGCAAGTCTTGTTGACTGGGTGTTCTGACCTCCAAGGTGCTGATTTAGAGGTAGAAGAAAGGAGGTAGATTGATCAATTCCCAGGAGTAGAAGTCTAGTAGGGAGGCTAGGCAAAGGGCTATGAGCCCTTAATAATTATTAAGGAGGCATGCACAGAGGCCCATAAGCCATGTAGTTAAATATTTTAAAGGTACAGCAGAGGAAAATGCATTCCATTGGTTGACCTTAAAAAAAAGGTTTTTTTTTCTTTTGTTTTTTGTTTTAAATAATAACTCGTAAGGCCATGTTTGGATGAAAATTCTAGGACTCCTTTGAGTCTTGCACTGGAGCACGTGGTGTAGAAGAGCACAGGTCCTGGTCCCAGGCTGCAGCTACAATGAGCAATGGAACCTATCTGGTGCTCTCAGGCTGCTGTGCTCTGAAATCTGTCTTTGGAGCTAAGCTGTAGTCATACTTGGACAGCCTGTTCTGCCTAGCCCTGAACACACAGGGCTAATAAAGCTAATCTGTTCATGGGAGACATGGAGCTCTCTTGGTGTATGGCTCCATATTGGTCTTGTAGATATCCAGACAATCTTTCTTGCATTGCCTATATTTTGATGGCGGGTCAGAGTGCAGCACGGGTTTGTATGTTTGCCCCTTCTTCCCTTCCCCATAGCATGTCCTCTCTAAGAAAGCTCATGTAATTGTGTTTGGACACTTGTCTTTTAGAGGACTTGAGCACAAGCACATTAGATGAGTTTCTTTCACTAGTTTTGAGTGTTTCTTAGGAAAGGAATGTACTTAAATATTTAAACTGGAATTGCTTCTTCCAATTTGGTGTCAACTCAACCAGGGACATGAAAGAGCTTGTGGATTGTCCCTTCAAGCTAGTTAGGCCCCAGTCAGAACTTGTCGTTATACTTGCAGTCTGGGTAGCGGTAGGCAAATCTAGGATCACAGGTTCTCAGTGGTCTCAAGATGTCCTTCAGTAGGTTGGTGGCCCCTAAAACTTCCATGTCTGTGCTGGCATTCTTGCTACACAAACTGAGGGCAGAGTCTATTTTCTCTTGCACAGGGGAAGGAAACTTTCCCTGGAGAAGTCGAGGCAGCAATTGTTGACACACCAGCACCAGGTTTTGCTTCTCAGAGACAGTGTCACAGGAGGACAGCTGGACCTGGCAGTCAGAAACCAGGCAGCTAAAAATGTCTTCGTTTTCTCCAGTCCCGAAAGCTGCTTGGCTGCCTAGAAGAGAAGTGGAAAATATCAGATATTGTAAACCTATTCTTGTGGTGGTGGGGTGGGGACGGGGTGACGGGGGACTGCCAATTACAATTGTGGAGTGAAGTGCTTTAGTATCCAAGCATTTCCCTGTCACCAGAATATGTAGGGCTCAAGAACACAACAGCCCCTTTGGAGAACAGCATTGAGTAATACTATCCTACAATTAGGCTAAAGCCCAAGCATGGAAAACCCACTTGTCCCTACCAACAGCTGGGCTATAATTGTAAAAATTATAACCACATTGTTACTTTCCTGTTATTACTGAATTAGGGAAGTGAGGATGGTATTAGGATTGGTTTTATTGTACAATTAGGATAAAAAGTCAGGGAGGAAAACATGTCATCCAAAATATGTTTTCAGCAGGTTACAATGGAACTGATGTTTGCATAGCTGGAATCAATCTCTCTTCTAATTTGATTCTTCTTAATAAAGGCAAATCAGGAAGTGAGGAAAAGTTTTTTTCCCCTCTATCTTTGCAGAGTTTGTTAAAAAAAAGTGTCAGAAATGGAGAAAAATCTTTTGTCCTGTTATTGGGCTCAGCAAATTTGGTCACCTTGAGAAACTGGGGCTTAATGGTCTCTAGAACACTTGGCTGAACCTTTATAAACAATGAAAACTGTAACTTGCTCACACACCTCATTCAGTTCCCTGTTTTTGTAATTTTCAAATTTACAGGGTCAATATGTCAACACTAACTGCAAAGTGAACTAGTGCATCAGGCCAGCAGTTATATCTTAGATCAAGGCTAAGAACATCTGAGGAGAAAGGGTTTGAGGGGGAGAGGGGCCTGTGACTTGTATGTGAGTGAAATCCAGAACTGCCCTGGGAGGGCTCACTGGGGGTCCATACCACCACGGACAATGCTCCTTACAGGCAAGACCAAGTTCATTTTCCCTTTGGAAATAAAGATAAAACAGAAATTCAAATGAGCATGAGGGGATATTGTGCTATGACCAATAACATTTCCCAAACTTGGATTACTCTGTGACACACAGAGAGAACAAAGGCCCAAGTCACCCCTCCTTAGCCTTTATGTCAGCCTAAAATCCCCTTTGACAGCTGCTCAATCAAGCCCATGCTGAGTACCTTCCTGTTTGTCGATGACACCTAGTGCACTGGCATCCCGGATGAACAGATGCCCATTGTCAAAGATGCCAAACATGTCTGCATCAACATGGGTGAAATAGAAGAAATAGTTCAGATCATTGCTCCTCAAGGACTCCAGGACCCCAAGGAGTTGGTAGGCAACGTCAGCAGCTTGCTCTGGGGGTGCATCGTAAAATTCTTGCAGTGGTTTGGTGCTGGTACTGATCAGGAATCTACCACAGGAGCCCAGGTACTTGGGCAGTGGCCAGCCCTCTGCCCCTGGGAAGATCTGCCAAGCCAGAAGGAGCAGGCATTAGACACAGAGAAATCTCACAGAGCAGTTTGCTTTCTATCTCTCACCCATAGCCTATACAAATAAGTCTTACTGCCAGTTTGGATCTCAAAACATGCTGGCAAAGCATTTCTCCATCTTTTCATACCTTTTGGAACATAGTAAGGCCCTGCCCTCGCTCCACTTTGGGAGTGTGTTGCTAATGGAAGGACTCAGGAGGGAGGCCGCTCTCATTTATGCAGTGGATCAGATTTTACGAGTTTCTCCAAGTGGAACCTGAGAATGCTAACCAACCTTCAGTGATTTTCAGTGGTATCCAGGATTCAGGGTATTTTTCTTTTAAGTTGTGCCATTTAAAAATATGACTAGTCTGTACTTTCCAAGATAACATTATTTAGGAAGAGGCCATGGAAAAAAATAAAAGAGCAACTTCAGGGCAACTGAAAGACTAATAATAATAATTAACTAAATAAATACATTACAAATAAGGTATTGTGTGAGCTGGTTTCTTCCAGATGCTCAGGAGAATGAGGCAGGAGGGTTGAGGTCAGCTTGGTCAACAGAGCTCATGGATAAATAAATGAATAAATAAAACAATGCAAGTACTTGGTTCTAGGATGGAACAAAAATAATTCAGGTGGTTGTCTCCGCTTCTAGACTGGACAATCCTGCATGGTTCAGGTAACTACATACTTAAAAATTCTTCTCCACTTGTGGGAAGCTTCCAGATAGACTAACATTGGTCTGGGGAAGCATAACCCAGCCTCTGTCCTTGTAAAAGCTCTCAACTTGTGGATTTGGGTGACATAAAGTTAGGAAGGAATCCTAGCTGTTTTTTCTTGACCATTTTTTAAATTTTTTTATTTTTTTTGTCTGTTTTTTGCACATCATAAACAAACCCTGTATCTCCATTATTCCCACCCCTCCCTTTCTCCTCTTAACTCCTGTGTCCCCCTTCTTTCTCCAAAATTCATGGTCTATTCTTCATTATTGCTACACATAGATACATATATTTATAGACATATATAATCACACGTGTATATATATAACCTACTGAGTCCATTTAGTGTCACTCATATGTATATGCGACCAGAGCTGACCATTCGGAATTGAACAATCTATGTGGAAATTTGTTCATGGAGAAAGAAGACTGATTCTCCTTCTCTCAGTAGCCATTGGTCACTTGTATTCATCTATTGATAGGACCACAAGGAATATTCCCTGTCCGTGTTTGAGCCTCAACTGTTGATCATTTTCTCAATGAATCTGTATCTAGAACTGACAGCCAAAACTATAAACACCACTCTTCCCTTTGTTTACCTTCTTAAGAAAACAAAGTAAGTCTGAGTGATGCATTCTAGTAGCAGACTGCTTATCTGGCACACATAAGACCCTGGGTCCCATCCCCAGCACTACAGGAAATAAAACAAAAAGTAGACTTCAAAGTTCGTTCTCTCTCTCTCTCTCTCTCTCTCTCTCTCTCTCTCTCTCTCTTCTGTATCTTCTACCTCTTTTAAGTCATGTTATAAAGAGTCATGCTCTTTGAGCTTCCCTAACTGAGGTACCTTATACACTATGTGTCTCCAAGGGACAACCTGGACCTACTGACCTTGTTTAAATGCGCAAAACCACTCCTTGGCCCCATATCACACTCTTTCTGGGTAAAGCCCAGGGTTGAGTGAAGTGTCTCAGCCCCGTGGTTCCAGGTCAGGTCTCTGAGGAACCAGACCTTCGGGTAACCAAGATGACAACAAAAGTTAGAATTGTGAGTGAAAGGCCTCCAAGAAGACCTCTGAGCATGCAGGGCAAAGAGCAGTTCCTTCTCTGCCACTAGGATGTCAAATACCAAAGACATTAGGCAGGTTTAGTGGGTAGAGTATAGCTTCTGTTGCCTCTGATGGCAGACATTTTTGAGTTTAGGGTTCACAGGTGATAGTGACTAAGGCACTTCTTCCGTCTTATTCCCAATGGGGATGACAATATCATTCTGGGGGCTTGCAGTGATAACTAATTGACAATGATAGCCATTATTCTGCACAACACCTGACACAGAGCAAGAACCTAATAACCAACAGTCTTCATTGTGTAGTCATCCATTAGTTTTTTGACAAATATTTAGGAACTATCTATGTTGTAGCTCTTTTCTTCCCTGTCCGTATTTTTATATTACGGTATTTTAAAAGATGGTCTTATGCCAGGTGGTGGTGCATGCCTTTAATCCCAGGACTCAGGAGACAGAGACAGGCAAATCTCTGTGAGTTCAAGGCCAGAATGGTCTATAGAGTGAGTTCTAGGACAGTCAGTGTTACACAGAGAAACCCTGTCTCAACCTCCCCCCGCAAAAAAGAAAGAAAAAAAGAAAATGAAGATGGTCTTATACAGCCTGTACCATCATGCCAAGCTTTCCCTCCTCTTTCCCTTCCCCTCTTTTCTCTCTCCCCCTACTATTCTCTCTCTCCCTCCTCCTCCCATCCCACTCCTTCACCCTTTACTCTTCTTTTACCCTTCTCCTCTCCTGCAACTTCTGGTATCTTTTCTGTTCATGATGTGACTTACATGTACATGTCCTGACCCTTGGTCTGGGAGAATTTAGCTCCATGAATTCTATGGATAACTGTTAACATGGTGTCTCTATCTTTTTTACTAAGTGTGTCCCAGGTCCAGTATGTCCTCATTTATTTGACCACTTTCCAATTATGTCACTTCCAGTTTTTTTTCTTCTTTCCAAACACAGCTTTAAGGTATATCTCTAGGTAGCTGTTTCACCAATCCCTGAAATCATATTTCTCTTAGTGGCAGAGATTAAATTTGCCTCCCTTCACGAAGGCCTTCCTGACTGCCTCACCTTATAAATTTGACTGCTGTTCCCTGTCACCCACATTCCCAGCCCTGTACTCCCATACCCTTTTCCTCTCTAGCTGCCAAGGCTGTCAAACACTTACCTGATGTTGCAAATGTACGAGCACAGATTTGTGACCCCAAAACATGAAGCAAGAAGGGGAGAAAATTCAACCCGTGGATGGCCTCTGAAATTCCAAGGTGATAACATAACCTGGAGAGCTTGTGGGGGTCACCAAGTACCTGCAGAATGATGGGGTGTGCATTGACAGCCAGTGTGTAGAGGAGACGCAGCTTGTCACGGTCAGTGAAGTGGTCCATGAAGATGCTGCCAGCGTCAACCACTTCAGCATAGCGTCGAACCACACGATCCAAGAGTCTTTGTGAAGGGCATCGCAGGAAGGGACTGGGCAGGCCCTGCAGACACATGAGAGAGACCCAGGATGAGTTACTGGACTCTTGTAAGGGACACAGATATCGGATTGGGAGTCTAAATGGTAGAGGAGAGATCCATGGGTGGTTAAGAAGGATGCTGAGCAAGATGGTGGAGACCCCTGGGTGGGACATAGAGAATGGGAGAGGGCATAGAAGGCTGTGCAGGAATTGGGGCACTGGGGGTATGGAGAGCAGCTCTGCCTTTTTGAAAGTTTGAAGTTTTGCTTTTTTTTTTTTGCTTCCACACAGAAAAAAAAAATCAAATGAGAATTAACAGTACAAGTCATACATGTGCTTCTAGTGGAAGTTCCTTTCCCATAACTGCCTGCTTAGAGAAGTAGGATAAGGATAAGGCTGTCTTGAATGGATCCAGAATTTCTGACATAAGGTCTCTTCCTAATGGGGCAGATGGTAAAGTTAGCTCAATCCCCTTGAGGATTTAGATCTCGAGATCCATCTGAGACAGAGGGTCTATGAGAGATATATGAAGAAAGCAAGAGATGCTGTGAACCAAAGTGATTGGAAACTTACTAAAGAAAATTTAGAACAAAAAAAAAATACGGCGTTTCATTCTAGAGTACAAAGCCTATAAGCTGCTATACTAAATGCAAAGTCGGAGATGGTGCTATGTTTTGACTTTGTCCCTCAAATTGAAACTTTAAATCCCAAAGTCATATGTTAATGGTATTTGGAGGTGGGATCTTTGAGTGGTAATTAGGACCGGATAAAGTCAAGAGGATAGTCCCAATAATAACATTAGTGGCTTTTTAAGAAAAGGAAGAGAGACCTAAGCTAGTATGCTTGCCAGATGCTAGTGTCAAATTCTTGGACTTTTCAGCCTCAAAAACCATTAGTGAGACAAACAGCTATTCTTTAAAACTTGGGGATGGTGTTCACATGCACCAATAGGAAACAGATGAAGACAGCAGCACCACAAATTCCTTTTCCAGAGAGTGACTTCACTGAGTTTTTGTTTCTTGTCCCAAGGAAGCCAAGCAGCTTTAGTAATTCAGGGAAATGCAGCTTTACTGAGGCACTGAAGGAAAGGCAGTGGTAAGGAAAGAAAGTCCTGAATCTATTGAAACTTAACCTTAGCCTCAGGAAACTTAACCTTAACCTTTTCTCTCACCTCACAGGAATGAACCTTCAAAAAATTTGTTTTAAACACTTAACATCCTGGGTTCCAGAAAACCACATTATGGTTAAGCTAAAATGTATATTAATCACTCAAGGTTGTTCTGACTGACTTGATGTTTTCAAAAGCAAATACTGCTCAAAAGGTGACGATTTACCACTGCTGAACAATCTGAATATCTGTTCTGATGGAAATATAAATGTATGAAAAAAAAACATCAGTTATTCTGAGAAAGAAAATCTACGACCAGAAGTATGGTTTTTCACCCTAAGACTGGAAGTTGGCTTTTCTCAGTAAGGTTGCCTCCAACAACTGACTTTAGAATGTTGAAAGAAATGTCCAGCAAATGAAGTTTTACTTTGAGGAAACTAGCTGTTCTCAAGCTCTTCTAGCCTCTATGAGAAAACGTGAATTTGAATAAACTTCCTTCCAGCTATACACCTGAACACCTTTTACACGACTGCGCACTTAAGAATGTTTGTAAAACAGAGCTAAGGTTAACCATGCACCACAGTTAATCAACAGGCTACCATTAAGACAATGACATTTAATAATTGTCTCAATTGTTATGGATAGTTAAACCTTCCTTTATTCAAAACAGGAAACTCCTCTTTTATTGTATGAAGATAAACAACTGACAGTTTTATGTCTACTCTAATTTTGTTCTTTTAATAAAGTTTTTTTCCCCCTCTGAACACAACAGAAAGTGTTTTGGTGTGTCAATTACCATTCTATAAGTATCTAATAGCATGGTGATGGCTTTGAAGTAACCACATGGATGTTTTTAATTGTTTAGAAATCCAATAGCAACCTTGTTACTCTCAGGTAACTTGACAGGCAGAGTTCTTAGCTCACTGTTACTAGAGGAGGGAGGGGAAGCTTTAAGTAGGTGAATGGTGCCTAAATAACTTCAATTTTTCTTTGAAATCCATAAGTTAGGGCAGGTTTATGATAGGTCTCTTTCCCCTTAGGAAGTTGCTCTCTGCTACCTGGGCTGATCTACCCAGATTCCCTGATATTAAGGCACTGGTACAAAGTCACCCCAAAAGGATAGAGGTAGAGGAGGAAATGAGCCCAGGGGAAGTGGTGGATTGGAGTTTGTCTTAGATCATGTTAGAGTGAATAGCATACTCAGTAGCCATTAAAACCATATTCAATTAGCCAAATGACTTGTTGGGAAGAGTAAACAATATGGAAGGTATTCCATGCACCACAAGTACAGTCTCTCAAAGACCAAGTTTCTATATAAGACAGGTCCTCTCACTTCTAATGACATCTTTCCTTAGACAGGGTTTCTTTTGTTTAAATTCTTGGTACTTTGCAGAGACTCTAAATGATTCTCTGAGGAGCAGAGCAGTTGTGATTATGTCCCATTTTGGTTGCTGGGGGAGGTTCCCAGGAGAGGAGTAACGAGGAGCCACCTGAGTGTGTGAAGTTGTATTGGTTTTATCCTTTTTCCTGCCTCTACCAGAGCCTTCCAACACATTTCTGTCTTACCTCTCCAAACTGACTGCCTATTTCTCTTTATTCAACCTTGTACTCCTCTGCCCTAAAGAGGGATTTCTGCTTGGATGGGTAGACAACGTTCACAACCAAACTTAGATTTCACAGACCTCCAGAATGCAGTGTAATGAACTAGTTTCAAGCACATCCTTTACAGGAAAGCTGGCAGGTTCGAATCCCAGATCTGTCACTTAACAACTGCATGATCTGGGAGTTCTTTATCTTATATGTAATTTAGGGATAATTGTTAAGGGGATCATTTGTCTTATCTTCTGAACCAGGAGCTTTTTTGAGAGTGAAAGAGGTGATTTCAAGAATTTGATTAATTAAAAAAAGATAATCATACTTGTATTACATTCACCTCCACTACCTTCTCTAATCCCTCCTCTACTTCTATTGACCTCCTCTTTCCAATCAGTCTCCCTCCTACCCTGTGTCCTTCCTTTCCTTCTCCTGCCTATACAGGCAGTCACAGTTTCTGTGTGTTCGTGATTCCATAGCTGTGCCATATCCAGAAGACATACTCCACTGCACTCCTCCTGGTTACTTTCCACAGTCCTTCCATCCACTCTTCCTCAATGATCCCTGCATTTTAAAGGGGGGAGTGTTACACAGGTGACCCTTATTAATCCAAGCACTCAGTAGTTACTTTGATCAGTTGTGGGTTCCTGCTTTGACCATTATCTACTACCAAAAAAGGCTTCTCTGTCCGTAAACGAAACTTTCTCTGTCCTACCCTGTCCCATAGCTGCTTCCAAATAATCATTCAGAGACTTATATTAGTTATTAATGCTCAATCAATAGAATACATATTCATAGCAAACAGAAATATCATCCCACAGCACTGACGAAATCTGAGAACTGCACTAGTCTGTGGATATAAACATAAATATTTGGAAGGCAGTTTAATTACATGTCCACTTAGCAAAACATCAGTAGTTGATTCCACCATAAGGCTGTGACCTCCCTAGTCATAGACTTTTAGCAAAATGCCAAGCATGTATTTCTTCCTATAAAATGGGCCTTGGATCTCATCAGGATGTAGTTGGTTACTCCCAGAGCATCTATGCCACTGTTGCAGCACTTGGTGTATCTTGCCATGCAGTTAAGCATTTTAACATGCATGGTTCACAGACGGGTAGAATTATTTATGACTTTCATCACACAATGGTCTACACAGCACCTTCTAGCTATGAATATTAGTCAACAGGGTGGAAGATTCTAGCTCAGTTTCAGCTTGATATCTTTGTGTTTTGTATAAAGAATATGTACTGTCTTCAGCAATTAGGTCTTACTGTCTAGTTCTAGTGGACAACCAAGAGCAATGACATAATCTCTATTGTTTTGGGATGTTCTAGCAATTAGCTAGCTGACTGAAAATTCATAGGGAGGTATCCTACACCAGTTACTGGTATTTTGGTTTGAAAAACTATGGTTTCTAGAGCTGGGTTTTTAGAACATGCCTTTAATACTAGCACTCAGGAGCCAGAGGCAGGTGGATTCCTGAGTTTGAGCCAGCCTGGTCTACAGAGGAAATGCCAGGACAGGCAGGGCTACATAGCAAAATTCCATCTTGAAAAACAAAAGAAAACAAAACCAAAAAAAAGAAAAGAAAAAAGAAGAAGAAAGAAAGAAAGGGAAGAAGGAAGAAAAGAAGAAAAACCTATGGACTTCTGGAATCCATGTTAAGCTGTGTGGTAGTTTCAGTGAGAACAGATCCCCATATGCTCATATGTTTAAATATGTAGTCTCCAGTTGGTGGAACTGTTTGGGAAGGATTAGGAAATGTGGCCTTATTGGAGGAGGTGTGTCACTGGGGGTGGGCTTGAGGTTTCAAAAGGCTCATGTTGTTCTCACTGTGATCTCTGCTTCCAGACTGCAGTTTGATCCCTGGCTGTCCTGTCTCAACTGCTCTTGTTGCCATGTCTTTACTCCACCTTCATGGACTCTAACCCTCTGAAGCTCTAAGCCCAATTAAATGCTTTCTTTTATAAATTGCCTTGGTTATGGTGTTTTATCACAGCAATATAAAATAACTGATCAATACAAGCTGCACACACATGCACAACTTATAGAAGAAAGAGTTTATTTTGGCTTAAGGTTCCAAAAGGACATATATCTATAATGGTGGGAAATGATACATGGTAATTAGAGCTGAGAGATCACATTATCAACGACGCATAGGCAACAGAGAAGGCCAGCAGGAAGTGAGGCCAGGCTATAAATCCGCAACGTCCAAGTGACAAGCTTTCTCCAGCAGTGCTCCACCTTTGGAAGGTCCTATAGCCTCTCCAAATATTGCCATCAACTGGGGACCAAGTGTTCAATACATGAGCTTATATAT